TAGTCACGTTTGTCAATGCACAAATTTAACCATTCATATTTTTAATTACCAATAAGAAAAAATTATGAAAATTTTATATTTTGAAAATATATATCGTGACAAATCTAAGCTAACAAGATTCCACATGACTATATTTTTATTACGTATAAAGTACAAAATACGGTCAAAGGGGAGTGTTTGAATAGTGCTAAAGTCAAAACGTGTCAACTAAAAAAAATAAAGGTAGTATTTCTGTAAATAATTCATAATTTTCATTTTCATCTAAAGTATGGAAAAACCATACTAAGTAAATTGTAATCTTTCATGCATGCATCCATTACAGGAGTTATTATGATTTTTAAGTCTCGTGAATTATTAAAATTGAAGAGTTTAAAGCACAACTACTCCTTAAACTTAGCCAAAAGTTGCAGTTAGCTCACTGAACTTTCAAAAGTTGCAAGTTACTCACTGTAACCTTCATTTACAGGTTAATTGGTAGAGCTCCCAAAACTTTTTGACATAAAATTCAGCAACTCCCTAAACTTTCTGTCATAAAAGTTAGTCCACATCCTAAACTTTCCTATAACTCCCTAAACTTCCTCACATGATTTTCAATTAACTAGCCTTACAAAAAAAAAAAAAAAAAATTAAAAATCGATTATTATAAAAAAATAAAATCTAACAACAGCTATATATACTCCAATGCATTATCAATACTCTGTTATTATTCCGTAATATAGAAAGTGAAGAAAGCTCCCACAAAAAAAAAAAAAAAAAAAAAAAAAATTAATTTTGAATTATTCTGTAACAATGAAAAAAATGGCTACTATAGTCAAGTCTATTTTTATTTATTTTTGAATAAATAACTAAATCTAGTTTGTCTTCATTTAATAATTATTTTCAGTTTGCTTTAGCTTTTGTCAAAAAAAAAAAAAAACATAGTCGGACAAAACATTAAAACAACGTATCTTTTACCAAAATGGCTATTGATAAAAGTATTTATCAAAACGGCTATTTATATAATTTAATTCCATAACTAGCTAAAATATTGACTTGGAAGGAAGTTATTAATTTATTTATTTATCTCCTTTGAACTGGTTCAGTTCAATATTTTTTTTTTAGTGTTTTTGTGTATTTGGGATTTTTAGTTAGAAAAGTTTAAAGCCACGTACTAATATAAGTAAACAACCGCTATTAAGCAACCCAAAAAATTCTAAACTTTTTTCTCCTCTGATGTTAATATATATGGATCATCTAATAAAATAATAAATAAATAAAAAACCTAACCAAACTAGTGCAAAGGGAAAAAATAAATAAATAATTTCCTTCCAAGTCAAAAATTTAGTTAGTTTTAGAATTTAAATTTAGAGTTCCCATTGGCTTACAAATGTATGATTAGATTGTTAAATTAAAAAATATAAAAAATACCAAAGTTTAGGGAGTTTACTTATTAGTACAATAATTTAGGCAAAGTTTAGGGAGTTAACCTGCTATATCAGGTTACTACCTGAAAAATGACTTTCAGCCACCTAAGTAGTGAGTAAATTGCTACTTTTAAGAGTTTAGTGAGTAAATGCAACTTTTGACTAAGTTTAGGGAGTAGTTGTATGCTTAACTCTAAATTGAACCACTAATGAATAGCAATCTTTGTCAGCATATGTTATCATTGGCAATAAAGAAAAGGCAAACTGTTGCACGCAGTTGATTGAATGGAGCTCAAATGAACCAAATCATATAAATTAAAATATCTCAAATGAATACAAATCATTGATTATAGAGTAAATAATAATAGGAAATTCAACTACTTATTAGTTCTCCCAAACTAAATAGATAGAAACTAACAATCATTAAATATATGAATACTAATACGTAGTATATAAAAACTCCATGATAACCTAATCTAGAAAATCAAAACATACATCATTATTCCTACTAGGATATTTCCTAGTAATATGCTAATAACCTAAAATAAATCATAATAACAAACTTATTCCTAGACAACCAAGTGCTAAATCTTCTGCTTCACGGAGAACTGCCACCCTTGGCGGAGGTAGATGGAGGTTTCGGGGCAGGTGGTCCAGGGACAAATGGTTGAGGAAGCCCGGGAATTGAACTTGGTGGTGGGTCATTTTTCGGGTCAGGAGGAAAAAATGGATCATTAGGCGGGTTTGGAACGTAAGGGATAACGGGTTTAAGGAGACCCTTTATCACTCCGGGGACAAACGGGTTATCATAAAATCCAAAGGCATCTTGTGGTTTGACATCATTGTTATTGTTTTCTAATGGTCTTGCACTAGAAAATCCTAGTATGCATGAAACAAAAATAAGAAAAACACAAAGAGTTTTCATCTTTTTTATTCTCTTAAAATGTAAGAGTTTTTGATGGGATGATATGAAAAATGAGTGCATTTCATGCTATTTATAATAGTGTGGTACGTGAATTGATGACTTCGTATGTTAATTTGATAAGATTGTATATAATAATAAAAATATAAGATGATAGAGGTTATATGATTTAAAGGCATAAAAGTGTTAGTTATCTTATTGACATATCATATAAATGAAAAATTAAATCGATGCGTAACCAATAAAATTATTGTAAGCTTTTACTAAATGAATAGGAAAATTATATTAGCACATTAAAAGATATTATAATAAAAATAAGTTACAAATGTATGTAGTTGGTAATCATTTTGAAATGATACATATAAATAAAAAGAATCAGAATTGTAAATCATAAACAAAAGTGAAATAAACAAATGATAATCATAATAACCGATCACTATTTGTAATAGGATACTTTCAGTAATTATAATAATAATAAAATTCTTAGGATAATAATTGATATATACTTTCGTCAAAAAAAACCTTTGTAAATAACAAAAACTACCATCTTGGGACTCCATAAATAGTGTGTAAATGATTGTGGATTAATTATGCTTCTATGTTTTATATATATTTTTAACAATATCTATATATTTATTAAGCGGGTAAGTTTTGTATGTGACTAGCCACATGGTGTGGCCACATTGGTTTATAAGAGTAATTTTTATTTATATTTATGAATAACCTCATTTTTTGAGAGAAGTGACTGAGTGAAAAGAATGATTTGAATAACCTCATTTTTTCATAAGAGTAACTCCATGTTGTCCATAAAAGTATTCCAAATTTATTATACGAGTAAAATCAAGTAATTGAGAAATAAGTAACCCTATTTGTTCATTCGAGTAACCTCCATTATTTTGTTTTAAAAAATGAAAGAATAATTCCACTTATTTAACAGAGTAACCTTTTTTTCTCATTTAAGTAACCTACATATGTTAAGGTAACCCCATTTACTCATCATTGTGACCCCCTATTACTTAATTAATTGTCTTCTATGTGATTATGTGAAGTGGCCACACCATGTGGCTAGCCACATATAAGAATTTGTGTTTATTTAATTAGGTCGTAATATATATTTTTCAGGTAATGCCTTAAGTAAACATAGGTAAATGCCTCAAATACAAACAAAATATATAAAACATTGTTTTCCTATGTAATGACCAAAAGTATTTTAGATCATTATCTAATCCACAAACAAGTTTTGCGAAACATTAATTACATATTTCCGGATCAAATTGAAGAGACTCGAAAAGAAAAAAGAAAATAGGGGTTGTCTTCTTTGATTACACAGTCGAAAGAACGCCAATCATTCAATCTACTTCACTATTCCGCCGGCCACCTTGATATTGCAAAACACCTATGCGAGTAATTTTTCGTTAACAAATACTTAAAAATGAGATTGTTGTTGAGTTTTTTTTATGAACAAAAATCTAAAAATCAAAACTGAAAAAAAAAAACGAAACGCTACAACACAATTCATTTACAAATTTTTATTGGGATTTTGAAGCCGGATTTGAGAATACATTAACAATTAACAATGATTTTGGGAATGGGTTGCTGATGTATGACCTGAATGAAGAACAATGATGAACAATGAAGAACAATTTTTTTTTTCTTAATTTTAATTATAATTTAATTTTTGGAAATAATTTTAAAATTTATATATTTTTCAAATACTATAATCATGTATTCTTTAAAAAATACATGTATTTACAATTATACCTACATTGTACTTATCCAACTTGTTTAAATCTTTTGGCAATTCTTTCAATTTTCCACAATATCTTAAGTTTAAACATTGTTTATTAATTGATTTTTAATAAAAATTTAAGTTCATCAACTTGTTTAATCATCGATTATCACGTTGAATTGGTGTTCTATATACATTATTACACAGTCATTTCATTCATATAATGATATACCATATTCAATCTTGATGACAGGTTTTATCATCTTATATCTGATAAAATTCCTCTTTGCAACCTCATTACTTCAGTTCAAACGCAAACCTATTACATATGCAACACTTTAAATAGAAATCTAACAAATTAATGACATATTTTATTCACTTTTATTAGAAAATTCACATCGTTGATATAATCCTAACAATTCTAGTAATATACTTCCTTCATTTTTAAATATTTGCAGCATATATTTTTTTTCAAAAAAGCGATATGATCTTGTATCATCGCATGTTGTGTTCCAAGATAGACCCATATTTGCCCTTCATCTTGATCTTACGAACAAATTATACACAATCGTTTGATGACTACAAAATCGTGTTAGCGGTTCAGTATATGTACGAAAGATGTCGTCATAGATCAATCATAGTGTACTCAGCGCGTCGTGGCCAGTGGAAGGAATTGGATCATGCTCATTGCTCTTCGGCTATACCCCATATATATACACAAAAATATGGAGGCAACTTTACTTGGTGGGCTATACGTCCTGGTCACTCTGTTGGATTTATGGCTAACTATGTTCCAACCCTCATTTCTCTTAATTCTTTTTAATTATTTCTTTTGTTTGAAAATATGTTAATTAAATTAAGGATATTTTGGTTTTTAACACCAGACAAAAGCATGAAAATAGTTTTTAACACCCAAAAAAAAAAAGTTTTATTTTAACACCAGATAAAAAATTAAAACTTTAAAATTACCACCATTTAACGGAAAGTGTGACAGAAAAGTGAGGTGGGTCCCACAATTTTGTTTTTCCTCCAATTTTCACCTCTGCATCGTACATGTATAAAATTCAATTTTCGTCTTGGCACGTGTTGGATGAGATCAACTCGAACAAAAATTTGAGTTTACAAGTTATTCCTACAGTCCTAGAACTTATTGTACGTGATAATATACATACAAAACTTTACAAATCAAGATGTAGTATAAAGAACAAAAAAACAATAAAAAAAAATTAAGGGGACTAAGCTAATTCTTCACCATTACAAAAAACAAGTAGGGATGACAAAGTGACACTTTATGTGTCGCCTTTTGTTGTAATCCTCGAATTTATGAAGTAATCATCATAAACACGAACTAACAACTTTCGAAACCTCTTAAGATCCAATCTCACGTTTTGATCATCCAAATAAACCTTCTTAGTAAACTCCCACCCCTTTTTATTCACACTATTAGGGTCACTCAAAACCGGATCATCTTTATCATACTTGTAGTACAATGAACTTTCTCTAGGATGAATTTTGTACCCAATGTATTTTAATCTCATCTTTTTCGCGGGTTCTCCATAGTAATTCTCGGATGCCCAATCCGTTCCTAGAGGAATAACTTGAACTAAGACGCGATTAGTCTCAAGGAAGAGGAAATGTGTCATGGCAGCTCCATGAACTCCAATCATAACATCACTACAACGTATTTCTTTGTATATGGTAGCTAATTCGGTTTTTCTATTAGGCCTCAATATATGTACGTTGAATCCGATTTTTTGTGCCAAGTTTATCAATGCATGCTCGTTAGTTATGCCTCTAGACCCACTTCTAGACAATAAGACCATCCTTGGCTTCTTCTTGAGATTTACTGCTCTTTTCGGGGCATCAAAGGCTCGGCTTAGAAGGTTTCGAAAGCCTAAGGTGCTCGCTTTGCTCAACGATGAGTCGATTGTGAGCTCGTCGTGGATTTTTAGCCCAACGACGGCTTCTTGAAAGCAATGTGTCTTGGAGTTGGAATTGAAAATGATAGGAGGATAGTTTGAAAGTTGTGCTAGGATTTGACTATATTTTGTGTACCACCAAGAATGGTATTCAAGGATAACAAAGATGACTTCTTTGTTGAAATGTTGTGAAGTTATGTACAAAGGGATTATACCGTCGTTGAATTCATGGTACACATTACCTGTATAGCCTCCCGTTGAGAAGAAAATGGCCGGAACGTCGTGTGTCACGTCGCATTTGTGACCGGAATTAGCCAAGGGTTTGTGTTTTGAGATTAGGTGCAATTGATCAATTGTGTTCATTACACTAGTCTCCCATTTTCGGGTATAAGGCCTGATAATTTCATGTTGTAACTCGTGTTCCTCGAATTTTGTAGGGATGTCATGTAGAGAGGCTTTCGGGTTTGTAGATGAGTATAGGAAGATTGAAGAGGATGAAGAATTTGTTCTAATATCTCCTTTCATGAAGCATACGTCTGTACGAAAATGGCTTCGATCACAATACATACTTCCTGCATTTAAACAAACGATTATATAACTTAAAATTAAATAGAAATTTATAAAATTATGGACATATATACTCTTAGCGTGTTAACTTGTGTATATGCACCTTACACGTCATTGTTAGGAGGTTTTGTTTTTATTTTTTTTTGTCCTCTCTCAAATTTTTTTTTTAAACATATACCTATATAGCTATATGCACAAGGCTACGCTCTCTAATCAAAAAACAGAGGAAACTTACCATTTGATGCAGAAGAAGCAATTGGAGGATCCGAACCCGATATTTCATACGACAATTTATCTCGTCCTTCTGATTAATCAACAAAAATGAATAATAGAAAGGGTCAATATAACATGCATGAAACATAGTAAAACAGATCTAATATTCAGCATAATCCCTTTCTTGGGCACAAACTATTAAACATAACATCAACCTAATAAAAATAAGCAAATACTTCATACTAGAGGGGAAAAAAAAACACGTAAATTCCTAGTTGTTCTCGAGTATAGGTTTATTTTTACTTTCCAAGTGATCAGAAAATAACTTTAGGTGTATTCGGAAACATAATGGACATATTGACAAAATTAAACTAACGTAAAAAAAACTATGTACTGAAATAGTAACCAAACATTTGATATGAACTTACGATGTGTACAAGATAATGAAAACGGAAACCCGAAAATCTGAGACACCCAAATGAGGCTGCAAGAGAGGAAAGAGAGGCAGAGTAGTGAAAATAGCTTAGACTTGTTTCTCTTGGACGACCTTAATTCTTCCTTCATAATCTTACTCCTATTTGTTTCATCAACTTTCCTAACATTATGAAGATGATCAATATAGTACTTTTGAAAATACACCATCTTATACAAAAAATAATGTATATGTTACACCACAAAATAAAGTGAAATTCTGTTTTATTTCTTTCTTATTAAGGAAAACCAAATAGCTAGCTCTATAATTCTATGGGTATAAAGTTGTAAGAATCTCCCTCTTTTGAACTCTCAAGAAATGTAATAAAGATGAAACTTGTAGAGCATATACATGTGTATGTCAAGAACACGACGAGAGTTGATAATACAATCTCTCCGTAATATTATTTTATCTATGTAGTTTCAAGGGTAATGAGGTCTTGAAAAGGTCGAAAAAATAAAGGGTATTTGAGGAAGAAAATTAAAGATTACGACGAGGTATAACGGTTATAAAGGGGAGAAAGAAATTTGATAGAAATATGAGAAGTTGCATGAAGTTATAGTAAACCTTATAATTAAGGAAATTAACGAAAAATATAATGTGTCAAACTTCAACAAAAGGAGGCGTTGGGTGAGAGCGTGTGCTAGTTTTAGCTCTTGTTTGTATTGGTCAAATAGGGGAAGGAAGAAGAGTTCTTACCTTGTGGATTTAAAATGCATGGATTATTTTTTTTAAAATTATTTGTATTAGTTCATTTTTTATTTTATTTTTATATTTTTGAAAGAATTTTTATAATAATTTTGTTAAACATAGCTTTTAGCTAGCTATGTTTCCCAAGGTTACAAGCAAAGGGGATTTTAGATTTATTGATCCTTGTTAAGTTGTTAAAGGAAGAGATCCTCAAAAGTTGTTAAAAAAAAGGTGGAGAGAGAAGATGAGAATTAGAGAATGTTAAGTTACTTATAACGTACCTTTACATCATTCTACCTTATGTTTGTTTCTCTTAATAATTTTTTTTTTGTTTAGAGAGCCACAAGGACGGGTGATGAGAATCGATCCCAAAATTTCCTGAAATCAGAAAGGAAGCTCAAACCACTTGAGCATTTTTTTTTTTTTTGAGGAACACCCTCATTGTTTCTTTTAATTGAAATACGATGAAATAATTAAATAAATACAGTATATAGGAGGGGGGGGGGAAGAGAGAGAGAGATAGAAAAATTAAAGAATGTGATTTGGATGAAGTGATTTTGCTTGAACTAAACTCATTGGATTGATGCTAAAGTCTTCTTATTGGTTTTGAGCTCTTATACTACTAGCCTATTCCAATTTTTTTATATATTGTTTATACATCTTTTGTTGAATTTTTCGCCCCTATCCCCATTTTATCTTGAATTTAAAGTTTGAATTTGTCTGAACTACTTTGGTCTAATAGTCTTGAATGATCTAAATGTTAATAGTTTTCTTATCAAGGTGTGCCTTAGCTTATAGGGTCTTATGTATTCATATAGATATGTAGTTTGGATGTTGTTCTCTTTTGTTAAACGAAAACATTATTAACGGAAAAAGTTAGATGTGGTATCTGTAGGTATATATTTTAAAATATAAAGTAAAATATGTAATAAAAACTAATATTATTGTCTAATTTTTTAAATTACTTAAAATCTAGCTTACACTCGAGTGTATATAAAATAAGGTAATCATGCACTATCTCGATCTTACATGGACAAACTAGAGATTTACCAAGTGAATAAAAAGAGTATATAAATAGGTAAACTTTTCTAGTCCTTTTTTAAAATTTGGAAGGGGGGAAAAGAAAAAAAAAAGTAGAATTTTCTAATCTTATCAAACTCATAATTAGGTGGCAGTTGCAAGGTCAAATGGATCAATTAACTTAGTCTAATGGAGTAATAATATCCTCAACTATACTTGTACTTGCAATAATGCAATTGAATGATCAAATAGATCCATTATTAATGAATTATCCTGAAATAAACTTGTATTTTCACTTACAATGTACGAACGTTGTTCAAAAGCCGAGAGAAAAGGAGGCGGCTAATGTAGATCACTTGATTATAAAGTAAATTCCTTTATTAATCTTTGACTTGCTTAAGCTAAAATATGAGCAGTAATCTTATTTAACTAAGTAGCTGAAGCAACAACATTACAGAATCAACCGAAATAGAGATTAATTTTAGCTCCGAATAAAGGCAATACAATGAGTTCGGATTCACAATAATTACCATTACGATGAATCCATAATGAAATTTGTGATGCTACAATTATCAACCAGATTAGATTTCTTAGAAAAAAAATAATTAAGATTAACTAATCATGTATATAATATAATACCATTTAATTTGGCTTAAAGGAGAAAGAAACAATGTATTTAGCAAATTGATTTTCTTTTGTCAACCTGAGTATGTGTTTGTTATATCCCGTCATAAGAATCAGTGGACTATAGGCTTTAATTTTCAAAAATCCAAGTATCAAAAGTATATTTTTATTCTTCATATAATACAGTAAAATGAATCTTGCAAACGAGCAGCCCTGGGTGTTAGAAATGGTTCAATATATGAGGTGTTGTGAAAACGTACCGATTAATTTCAGAGGGAAGGTGATTAATTATAAATTTATCAAAGTGATACCCTTGAATACCCCCTAAAGTAAAGGTTTAACACTGAAATTTAGATTGAGGGAGTACGCCATAATATAAGCACCCAAGAAAAAAGGCCTCGTAGTACAAGTTTATGTTTTCAAAGAGGATAAAGTTTGATGCTGTACCTGCAAATCAGGTACAAATGCCTTTATTCCATATGAATAAGATCAAAATAGTTCCAAGCTTAGTGTGAGGATAATGGTATCATCATATAGATGATTCAATTCTACAATTGATCATGCCATGTCATTAAAGGCACAATTACACTTCCATTAGACTCTGTACTTATATGAACTAACCGTTTGAATTTGCAGAAATATGCAGCATCTAGAACTTCACAAAAGCACTTGAGCTAAGGATCGAGCACGACCTGTGCTGATTTCCACAATTGATTATTCTTCTTCCTGCCTCTTCCGCTCATTTCTGCCTCAAATCTGCATGCTCCATGTTGATCTGATTGTTCTAAGCTTGCTACTGCCTGGCTACTTATCCTCTTTCATGTCCAAGTAATTTACCTCATCACCACTCACCAAGAAGTATATATATGCATGTGCATAAAAAAATCATGCGTAAATCATGAAAGACAATTGACATTATATTTCCAGCTTTTACAGTGTCCCATGTTCCTTTCAAAGTTAAGCAGACTGATAACCTATTTGATCATGCTTGCATCTAGAATTCCAGACAGTTGAAATAGGAAGTGTTACTGCTTAAAAGCAATAGAACACAACTATGTAGTATTAGAGATGATGAATGGTTCGATCTGCATTCTGGGGAGATGGTCAAACTGATGCTGTCTTCAAGTAGTCCATCCACATTTAAATATTGCTAGTAGCTTGGTAACTGATAACAATGAAATTAGTCTGCATAAAAATGATATGAAGACTGGTGCAAAAATCATGCATGCTTGAAGAGTTTCATGCTGAGCCAATGGAAGTAGACAGCAACCACAAGGATTGGAAGCGACAATGGGACCAAGAAGCAATAATATCTGTAAAAAGAATCAGCAATTCAATATTAACAGCACAAACATATTTGCAGCCCAAAAAACAATATGCAGAAAGTAATGAAACAAAAGAAGCATGTAGTCCGAATGCATTGTATTCTATACAGAGTATACACCCATTAGGAACAGAATGAGGTATCTGGTGAACCATATGAGATAAAAATTGCATTATGGAGATAAAAGGTGAACAGCAACTGTAAAGAACATTTCTCAGCTACTTGCACCTCGCAATGCCTTTGAATTATTTGGACCATGAGAGATGAGACCATCCATAATTCCATACTTGAGAAATTGACAAGAAAATTACTCCCAATAAAGGATGAAGAACTCCATTCATCTCAATAAAATAACCTTATTTTCATGCAAAGGAAAAAGAAAATAACTTCTCATACTATCTTTGGCCAACTATATTTTTGTCCAGTTAATATATATTGCCATTCAAACCAAAAGGTTAAAATATATGAGGAATATTTATAAACGGAGTATTTCAAATCCATGAAGCTAGAGATTTTGCAGGAAATGTTTAACAGAAGTTACTTTCTTGATCCCATCTTACCCAACTCCCCCCCCCCCCTTCTCTCTCTCTCTCTCTCTCTCTCTCTCTCTCTCTCTAAACCGAGGCTCTATGATATACAGGGTAACAATTAAGGGACACACTGAAATTGCCAATATCACAATTCAACAATAAGCTAATTTTCCAAGTAGATGAACCACAACTCCACGAGCAATAATCCAATAGAAGTATAGAGCTGCTTTCATACCAGCCACTTGTATGTAAGCAGGGTGAAAAACTGAAAACCCTGAAGAAGTACCCACTCTCTCCTCACAATCTCACCCCAGAGAAGAGGATAGAAGTTCCTTCAGCATTTACATTCTCTTATAACCAAAAGTGGAGAGTTCCTACTTTCAAGACAACTAAACAAGCACTTTTTTTGGTTCAAACAGTAGCTCCATGATATTGGTGTAACTCAAAATCATCAATTATGTAATATGAATGATATCCGATCCAAGCAAAGTCATATTAGATCCTAAATCAAATCAAATTAATGCAATGTGGTAAGAACCATTGCTAGAACCTATCTCCCCTCTTTGTATCTTCAGTCTACCTACATTTTTGTTTATAGTCCTTTATACATTACGCTTTCATACCAGGCCAATTCAGCCTAAACTAAGATATCAACTATCAAATTTTCTAGTATCAGTTTGCGTAATGCTGAAAACATAGATATATAATTCTAACTTCAGAAATTCATTATCATTCTAGATAGATTACAACATCAGTACATAACTTCATCTTGTTTTACAGATTTATACTACTCAACCACTATATCAAAATTCCAATTGTGTGCTTTATAAACAAACTTTCCACATTCTAATACCAAAATATTCAGTGCTTATATAACATAATTCACAATTTGTGCAAACCCATTATTCAATTTTATCTTCTAACAATCCCCTTATTCTTGTAATCATTTAATATATAAAATTAAATATATGGTTGAATAAGGTTCAACATAAACACCATGTAATACACTCAAAACAATCCTATTAAGCAGAATAGTATAGTACTAACAAGATACTTGTATATAATCATATTTAAAATAAAAAAAAATTGTAGAAAATAACCTGTCTCTCTGTATAGCATATATTAAGGGGTTTTGTGATGGCGGCAGGAGCTTGGAGATGACAGCACAATAAAGAAAACCCAGAAATGAAACCACGCCAAATGTAAGAAAAAAGGAGCCCCAAATTAACTGAGAATTTGTTAAATTTTTCATCAATCTCAAATCTTTGATTTGATTCTTCATTGATGTGTTCTCCTGAACTAGAATAAAAGATCAAATTGATGGTTTAGGGGATTTATTTCTATTATCGTCGATCAACATTGAATTTTAGGGTGTAGTTGGAGATTTTTGATTGATAATGGTACGGAGTAATGTTTAGATTTAGAAATTGGTGGAGGTAAAAGTCATAGGCATTTGAAAAAGTAAAAATAATGGTCTAACTTTCCTTTTCTTTTTTACAAAAAATAACGGCTTTAACATTCAACTCTTTATAATTTTGCATATGGTTAATTGACCAGATTGATGAATAAAAAAGACCCTTAGCGACAATTTGGCAAAAAAAAATTCACTCCGACGACAATTTGGTAAAAAAAAGCTAATCATAAGCGACAGTTTGATAAATAAAATAATCTCATGTGATAATTAACCCAAAAAATATAAAAATTTCCGACAAAAAATATAACCAAACCCTTTTTATGGAAATAACAATTTCAAGAAAAAAAAAATTGTTAAACTATCAATTTTCACTTAAGTTTCATACCCCTTATTAACGAATTTTTTTAAAAAGGGGTTGGAAATAAATTTGGTATTGGGATTTAGCAAAATAAAAAGGGGGTGACATATTAATTCAAAATCTTAAATTGGAAAAAAAATTTGAAAACACAAAAAAAAACAAATTAAATTAGGATTTTAAAAGACTTTGTTGAAAAAAATTAGATTTTTTGGGCTAAATGCCGCCAGAGTTTATTATTTTTACCAAGTTGTCGCATATGATTAGCTTTTTTTACCAAATTACCGCCGGAGTAAGTTTTTTTACCAAATTGTCGCTATGAGTTCTTTTTTTTTAATTAATTTGGTCAATTGGCCTTTTGCATATTGGCAAATAGAAATATTAATCGCTTATAAATTTGTGTTTTAAAAAAATAAAAAAAATAAAAAAATTGTGTCATCTAAAAAAAATGGGAAAAATATGAAATTTTGAAATCTCAACTCTAAAGTTCAATACTTCGGTCACACTTGTATTTTTATAGTTGTTTAATTCATATATTTACTAGAGTGAACCCCGTTACTACAAATGGGTTAAACGTTGGTGTCCTCAAAATTGTAGCATTAAAGATATGAATTTGTTAAGATGTATGGTGCTACTGATAAGACTACATATATATTAATTCCTATTGGAGTATTATTTTGTTTGAAGCATTAGTTCGTCTTGTTAAAAAGGCTTCTTACTATTCCTATTTATTCTTAATGAGATTTTTTTGTTTAGGTCTTAGAAAATGGGCCTCTTTAACTTGCAACCAGGATAAGACTACATACATCTTAGCGATTTTAGCCTCTTCATTCTAGCAAAAAGATACGGAATTTTTGTTAATCAACTCTCTAATCTAAATCATATTACAGAAAAGATTGAAATACAGCCCCTAAACCTCTTATAGCATAGGTTCTCAATCAAACAATGATTTAATTACTTGTGTTTAGCTTTATCCAAAAAAAGAAACTTACTTGTTTCTAGTCTTTCAAGAATAAATACTTGTGTTTAGGTTACGAACTCATTGCTTCACCAAAAAAAAAAGGTTAGGAACTCATTAGGCACCAGCAATGTGGAACTTATCGATCAGAAAAACAATTGTTGTAAACGGCTAAATTTCAGACTTACCTCTCTTTAACTCCCACCCCATAGGTTTTTTAGTAAGTTAAAAATCTTTAAAGTAGTTTTATTTTCAATAGTAAACATGTTGCATCACTTGCATGGACTGTAAGTAGGAACTATTCGATGAATTTTGACACAATTTTGCAAAAGGTAAGTAAGCATAAACTGTATAACGAGTACTGAGCATTTTGTTGTAAATAAATACCAGGATCGAGTGATTTGTATCCAGAAAACCAGAGAGATGTTTTACCATGTTGTGACGAACATTAATAATTAGTATTGCAAACTTGCTTGCAATACTTCTCATGGTTCCTGTCAATGGTTTAAATATCAAAAATCAGAACTCATACGGATTCAGAGCGACACCAATGGTGCATATCCTTGGCTTCTGGCAAACCAGATCGATCAAGTAACCCAAATTGTCTACACTATCCGTCTGTTTATGGAAGCACAAACAAACATCAAACACTCATGAATTGCTAAAAGTTAAAATCACATCATGTACATTTGCTACTTACAGCAAGTCATCTGAAAACAGTTTAAAGTGAGAACAAAGCTATGTATCTCAAAGCATCAAGCCATCAATTTTAAGGTTTTATACATGAACAATTACATATATCATACTAACTATGACCAGAAAAGGAACCAGTTAACTTCTCGCCTTCTATATTATGCAACAAGAAAAGGTAGAACGGTGAGCATGAAATCCTCATAAGTAAAAGTTGCTGAGCCGCTGTAACTCTTGTCTTTCTCCTTGAACTTCTCAGTTAGACCCTGCAGCAAGCAAAATATAGATAAACAACTTGGTTTATAATATTAATTATCTGAAATTATATTTCTAGGCTGTTAGAGTAAACAGCTAACAACCCCATTTGCCAAATTAGCATTCAGAAATCTCCTGCAGCAATGTGGCTATGTCTACATTCTCAAAGTTCTTGTCGGATTTCAATTTTTGAATACACTTGTTTCCTACTTGCATTTATCAAGAAACAGAAGGAGACTAGTTGCAACTGCTACAAAAGGAGGTATCTATGGGGCATGGTAGAAATAAAAAAGATATGATCAGCATTTCAGTCTTAGGATGGGGAAGGAAAGCATGATTTCTTGTCCACCACTATTTCACATTGAAGATCAACAAAATTCTAAAAACTAATACTCCCACTCCCCCCACCCTCTCTTCCTCTTTCAAAAAGAAAATTTAAAGCCAGAGTGCATGATAAATACAAATCCAGGGACGTTTCAGAATAGCAGTGAGGGACATTGTCCTGAAAATTAGTTTCTGACAAAACCAATTACCTAGTAGGCTAGTGCGCAATCCAAAAATATATATATTTTTTTTAAATCCATACAAGCCAAATCAGTTACTTGTAGAAAAAACAAAAAAAAAAAAAAATAAGGATAAGTAAAAGGAAAAACAGCATCTCATGCAAATGAATCTAAAACTAAAATGAGAACTAATCCGTCTTCCACAATTCAAACACTAAACACTTGAGCACAAAAACAAAAAACTGTGTTTAACCACCAAGAATGTGCCAGATTCAAGAATAAAGGAGAGGTTTGCAGAAGATTAGCCTCAAATTAGTACTTACGCGACACGACATAAATGCATAAATTTGGTAAGTTTGCATTAATACAAACTAGAGAAAGATGGAACAGAAGAACAAAAGGTTACCTTCACGGTGAGGCAGCATCTGCAGCACAGAAAATAGATAATTAGAATTGCTAACAATAAAAAAAATAATATAATCTACAGTAATTTCAGTAAAATCAAAATTAGTAACATACTCGATGAAGTTATCATATTCGATGGCCTTGCTCTTTCCCCCAGTCTTATCAAACTTAGAGACAAGCAAGTCCAAGATTACAGGGGAGACAGAAAATCCAAGACCATATAACGCATCACGCAGCTCTGAAGCATCTACCTTGCCACTCCTGTCTCTATCATATCTCTCAAATATTTCCTGGAGAACAGTCAATCAAAAAATGATGCTTCCAGTTAGCAATAATTTCCCATAAATAATCTATGGTGCAGTAAAATAATTTTTGAATAACATACCCTCCAAGACTGCAGACTGTAGAACAGGGTAATAAACTCCTTAGGACCTGCACAGATATGTAGATGTTAATGGACAGTAATTTAACTTCTGTTTATGACAAATCCCCTATTATTTTGTACATATCCTGTAGGTAGCAAGGATGGAACAATATTTCGAGCAGTAGTAAAGTAGTACTTCTAAAAAAAAATAAAGCACTGCAAAGAAAAGGAGTTACTATGAGATCAAATATGGGTGTGAACTGTGAACACATCATCAATTTTTAAAAGATGTCACAACTTCTTTCAGCTAAAATAATTGGCTTCAAAGCAACCAAGAATTGATATTGGGCTCTAAGTCATATTTTAATATCAACTTTCTTCGGGATACTTTCATAGCATTACTTTAAACTTGTCCAATAGAAAACTTAGGGCCCTTTTACAAAAAAGCTAAACTATAGGTACAAAAAATGATAATAGACATTTGGGTCCATTAAATCGTATCCGTCTTTGCATTTGGAACAAAAAGAAACATTATTTGACATTAACCCCAAGTAGTACTACTGTAACTGCCTATATAATTAAAGAGACTGCCAAGTGACACAATGATCAAAATTCAAAACAAAGCATCTTAATATTATAACTTAGTGCATTCACATTTTTCTTCAATGTGGCAAAAGCCCTTCTCTATCTATATTGAGATAACATTTCCATCTACTTTAAAACATTATTGTTCACCTCCTAAATTTATAACCACTACCACCAAAAAAGATGCAAGTGCTAGGCTGCTAGCATTCTAGTTCTCCACAAAGCTCAAACCATGAATGTTGTTAAAGAATGTAGACACTCAATTACACATCAGTCACTTTTTTCAAAAGAAAAAAGCAATAACACCAACCAATAATGAGAATTTTGCCGCCAATATGATCTAAATCCCAATATACACGAAATAAGTGTTAGGTGTGAGCCATCAAGTACTTCATTGACACACATCCCTTATATTTTCCTTATTATGTAACAAAGGTAACCAAATGATAATATAGTATACCCATTCTAAGCTCAAATTCCTAAGTCGTCGTTTTTAGAATTAATTTACAGCATTATTCAACTCCCACCTCCTATATCTTCTACTTTTAACTTCATTAGAGTCCAAATCCACTACCAACAAGCTTAATTTAATCAAACCAAATCCAATTACAGACTAACGTGGACCCCGTGCACAGTCCTAGAAACAAAAATTAGTCTAATAATGGACATATTCGTCACTTTTACACCTAATACAAGAACCCACCATTAATTAACACCAACCTACAAACGTGTAGCGTTGATTAAGATCCAAATATATCCCAATTTCTGACGCATTCTATTCAAGAATCATCGAATTCTCACCCAAAATAAATAATTAAATAAACAGTTTCATTCATTCATGCTTCTGTTTCAAGATTTAAAAACATTAACTACAAATTCTCATTATTAGCATATTGAAAGTGTCTCAATAAAGTACCAAATATATCCGTGGTCAAACTAGTGCATTTGAGACCATGAGAAAACAAAAGGATACAATTATTTTGAAAATGAGGAAATACTTTCAAGAATGGTGCCACAATTGTTCAAAAAAGCCTTAACAAAATCACGAGTCGATGAGTGTAATTAACTCGAACAAGAACATAAGACAATTCAATTTGAAATAAAAGATGAGAGGGAGCAAAATGAAAACGTACCAATCCTGCGAGAATTAGAGCTAGTAAAGAGATACATAAGAAGATGAACAGTACGAAGACTAAAACTCTGATTATAAGAAGACAAAGCCCTCTGAAGCTCCTTATCATCAATCAACCCACTTCCATCCTGATCAGCAACCTGAAAACACGCTACCACATTCGGGTCAGTACCCGGAGGAAAAGTCGACGGTAGCAGCGACGCAAATGGGCTGGACCCATGACCCGGAGGAGATGGGTAAGCCGACCCATGACCCGGCGGCCCATAAGATGGGGTCGGGTAACCCGAAGAAGGAGGCCCATAAGATGAAGGGTGGTTATCTTTAGGGGGTTTATCGGGTTTGGACCCGTAAGAAGGTGGGGCCGAAGGGGTGGAGCCGTAGGAGGATGGTGCGGCGTAGGGTTGAGCCGTTTGAGGAGGTGGGTGAGAATGGGTTGAGCCGTAGGGTTGGGGTTGGTTAGGTGTTGGTGCGCCGTAAGGTTGGGGTTGGTTAGGTGGTGGTGCGCCGTAAGATTGGGGTTGGTTAGGTGGTGGTGCACCGTAGGGTTGGCCGTAGCCGTAGTTGGGTGGGTTGTGAGGGTAGCCTGACATTGTTGATCGGTGTGATTGAGGAATTTGGAGGAGAGAGAAAATTGGGATTATCGGATTTTGAATGAAATGGGAGGTCTTGTAATTCGTATTTATTGGAGTAGTTACGACTTACGCGCTTGCGCCAGGAACTTTTTGGTCAAAATCTCAGTACTCTTCTTGTCCTTGTAGAAGCGATTTTATCACAAGTTAGTTTGCGCGTCAATGTTATGTGTCCATGGGTGTCTTCGGGTCATATTTTTATCGGAAAAGCATAAAACAACACGTGAACACGACGATAATGTTTTAAAATACTTTTTCCGTTCTTTATTTATCGCATCTAGTATTGTCAAAACGGTTTGACAGTTCGGTTTCAGTTTGGTTTGAAATTGGTTCGGTTTGAAATTGGGTTCAAGTGTCTTACGGGTCGGTTTCAGTTCGGTTTAAATAATTATCGGTTCAATTCGATTTTGGTTTATTCTTGAACAGTTTAAATTTGGTTCGGATTGTAAACGGTCTGGATAGTAAACGGTTTGGTGCAGACGGGTTGCGGTTTGTTAACGGTTTGGTGTAAATGGTTTTTATCCGGTTCAAACGGTTTCGGGTTAGAAACGGTTCGGTTCTTTTTTGGTTCAGTTTTATTTTAGTTAGGTTTATAACTGGTTCAGTTCGTTAACGGGTTCGGTTCTTCTACAATAAACATTATTCGGATCGACTTTATTTCAGGTTTACTAAATTACGGTTAGGGTCTGTTTTTTATTTCAAAAAATCGGTTTTTTATCGAGTCGTTTGAATTCGGGCAATTAAACGGTTTTGGTTTGAAATTTGACAATACTTTCTAACTTTTTGCTGGTTAACAAGTTTCATATCAAACCGAGACCTCATCACTTCATATTTAGGCATCATATTATATACAAATTCTCATTAATTTTATAAATACATATCATGTTATGTTTCAAGTTTAGCCATACTAATCTTACTAGTTCATTACGAAGTAGATTATAAAAGTTTAGTGCATTAATGTATTATTGTTTTACTATTAGATTATTATCTGCTTCTTATTTGATCATTTAATTAATAGTGTCATAATCATGATTTGATGAGTTGTTGTGACAACAAAATTTGCAATTTGGTATTGATACTTAATTAGTAAACAAGACTGATAATTAAGACTCGTTTATCATTATATATTTGCATAAAGTTATATATGAAGATATTACAAAGTAGTTTGATATGTATAATGAAAGAAAACATTAATGATTAAGAAGGTAATATTGATTCTTTCAATCGATTATACATATACATAACATCTAACCATCTCATATTCTTATAGTTAAATATTTATTAGTATAAAGTTATGGATTAGTAACATTATTTTGACTAGATCAATAATTTGAGTTGTAGTCTTAAGATTAGCTAAATATCATTGTTTGTGTAGTTCAAAGTATAATGATCTACACCGTCACTGGCTTTTATTTTAATACTTCCTTTGTCCCTTTATTTTTGCCTCATTATCATTTTTGGGGTCAAAGTTTGAAAACGTTGACTATAAATTACCGTTAATCTATAAAACATCATTTAGTCATGAGTGGTCTTGTTAAATTTGTCTCATTATATATATTTCACATTTTGTTATAATTTTTACATGTACAGTATGAAAATAAAGATATAGACATTTTAATACACGTCTTGGAGACCGTGCCCGATCAAATGGGGCAAAAAAATAGGAATAGAGAGAGTATTGGAAATACAATACATTGACCCACCAAATTTCAGTTTTACTTTACCCACCACATTTCAGTTTTAGATTACCCACCAAAATTTTCTAAACTGAAAATTTAAACAACCACCAAACACCAAAATTCTGAAAATTCAAAATCACCCGCCAAAATTTCAGATTCTGAAATTCAGAACACTAACCCCCACAACTTTAACTTCACTATAAAAGGAGTGAGTAACTCAGTCCATCTACATTCAATACTTTAACCAACTTTTTTTTTTTTTTTTTTTTTTTTACTGAAGTAGTCCACTGCAGCAGGAACCACACAACACTTAACATCGTTTCTTCTGTCATCACAGCACACACAACACATTGGGAAATGGATTCTGAGGGGTTTGAGAACGTAGAACAACTTTATAATTTGGAACAGTCACAACGGTTTCATGAAGATTAGGAGGTATTGTTTTCTTCTGAATCTGATAATGATATAGAATTAGAAAATTTTGGTAATCCAGCAACTGTAGTTATCGAATTAGAACATGATAACAAAATGGAAAAAAAACATTTGAATTAAGTGACAAACAATGACAACATATTGTTCAAGAACTTATTCTAGCTCAAGAAGGAAAAAGGTACTGCCCGGGGGGGGGGGGAGGTCAGTATCAAGGGGTTCAATTTAAAAATTAGCATACAAATATAATATACATAGGACAACTATTGGTAGAATTTGGGCAAAAGCTAAGGGCTAATTTAGGGGAAATAGAGTGATTGATGTGTGCAGCAGAAAAAGACAAAGGGGAAGGAAGAGATTAAACTTTGATCATGTTGTTTTAGCAGCAATACCAATTGAAAAAAGAACCACAATTAGAGGGTTAGCTGAGGCACTGCACTTAAGTCATACAACAGTGTATAGGTTGCTAAGGACTGGCATACTTAGGGCACACACAAATATCATAAAACCATCACTTAAGCATCACCATAATCTTAAAAGAGTGTAATTTATAATGGATAGTGTCATTCCGGGAACGGTAAATGAACTTCCTAAGTTATTTGCAATGTATAACATGGTGCATATTAATGAAAAATGGTTTTATATGAGTGATATGACTCAAAGATTTTATCTTTTTCCATGGGAGGATGACCCATACAGAGCAACTCAGAGTAAAATTTTCATGGAAAAGGTTATGGTTATGGCTGGGACTGCTAGACCTCATATTTGTAATGATGGGGAAATATTTTGGGATGGAAGGTGTTTTTTCTCTCACAGAACAGGTAGCAACATAGAAGAATAGAGTGGCAGGCACAGTTGAGACAAAAGGCTTTGCAATCAGTTACTACATCTGTTATTAGATTAGTGTTAATTGATAAAATGCTTCCAGCAATCAGATCGAAATGGCCATTAGGAGCATGCAAGGAAATATGGACACAGCAGGACAATGCTAGACCCCACATCAGCCCTAATGATACAGATTTCTTAGAAGCTGCAACTATGGATGGTTTCAACATCAGGCTTATAAACCAGCCAGCCTAAAGCCCAGACTTGAATATTCTGGAATTGGGTTTTTTCAGAGCCATTCAATCAATACAGTTTAAGGAATTTCCAAGAAGTTTAGAAGAGTTACTACAAGCAGTTGAAAATGCATACAGTACATATGATCCGAAGTCTTTGAATTTCACTTGGTTGCACATGCAGTACTGTATGCTGGAAATACTTAAGGTAAATGGCGGAAATGATTATAAAAACCCTCACAATGGAAAGAGAAGGCTGGAAAGAATGGGACAACTGCCCGTTCAAATAGAAGTACCAAATGAATTAATGCTTTAAGGTCTAAGTTTCATTGAACAGGGACAAATAGATGTCAGTATTACCCAACCGACTAATACTGAACACAATATGTTTCAAGGAATTTAAGAAAAGAATTGAAGACAATTGCATTTTGAAGGCTTTAATAGTGGAAGAATGACAAATTGAAAGCAACTACATATTTTGGGATGTTGAAAATTCAAATCAGGGTGTTTTTTTTGTTTTTTATTTGGGAAATATTAATTGTATGGGGAAATAGCCAACAGGGACTGCCACGCATAACCAACATTTGGTTGATATAATGGGTTTGTAAGTTATTTTAATTAACTTTGGTTATGTGTACTTTTGTATCCTGTAAGTTTTTGTCTAAGGCAGTCATATTAGAAGACATTTTGTGAAGGGACTCAATTTGTAGCTAATTTTAAAATGGTATGAAGTCTTCTTAGTAGTATTTTGTATGAAAGTCACCTTTTCTTTGTTGCACATTTACAAGCATTCATAATTACTTCCAAGTCACATTTAACAAAGGGTGGATAATCCATCAGAGGGTGTCATATTTTCTCAAAAAAAGCCCAAACCATGTTACCTCAACTGTAAGTGCACAACACTAAAACTAGAGTAACCCATAGTTTGGACCACTTTTAATCAATTGAGTCCCTTCATCATACGGATTACTAATGGGCATGACAATCTGAAATAGAGACTCATTCCACTAGGGACAAATACCCAAAAAAGGGACTGAATAGGCAACAAGGAGGGATTGAATAGGAACTAGGGAGGGACTCAATGTACTGCATACTCACTTGCAAACAGAGTGTTCTCTCAAATATTGTCATCGAGAACAAGAATTAAAATTGCTCATACACATCATTCATCAATAACAATCCCTTATATGCAAGGCATCAGGCATCAGGCAACATTGATCATGCATTGAACACTACGCAACATGCATTCAAGAGCAAGCAACTTAACAAAAACAAATAGTCAACATGCAACCACAATGGCAGAGGACTCATTCATCAACATCATCTAACAACAAAGGCAACATCAGCATAAACTACCAACAAAAGCAACATCAGCATAAACTACCAACAAAGGCAACATCAGCATTAAATACCAACAAAGGCAACATCAAAATTAAATACCAACAAAGGCAACATCAGCATAACCTACCAACAACATCAACATAATAAACATAACCAACCAACAACAGCAACATCAGCATAATCCAATCATAATAGCAACAACAACTTAATCTACCACCCTTGCCAGCAACTGTTGTTGCTGGCACCCATTGCCATTCACACAAACAACACTTCACCACTCAACCCAGTACATAACAAAAAAAAGGAGAATATATGGATCAGAAATTGTTACCGAAAGCAGGTCAATATATAAGTAGGAAGGCCAAATTTCATTCGTTTACTCTCATGCGCAACATCAGATTCACCAACAGTAGTAGGGGGGGACTCATGTTTTTCATCATCATCGTAAATTGGTGTTATCTTAGCACCAATCCCATACATTCTTCTCATTTATGCAGCAGAGACCCTAGGAATCATCTTAGGATAGTAATTAGGTCTGGGTCTGGTAAGGGACTGTGATTTCGGTTTTTTAGCACGACCCAACCCAG